CGCCCCCCACAGCTGCCAGTAAGTATCCTGTGCATAGGTAGAGGTGATTCTGTTTTAAGGTATCTCATATAAATTGTTAATTGCTTGAGACATAATGAGATGAACAGAGTGCATGAAGTAGTGGTTAACTGTTAGGAACCACACTGACTGCACGATTTCTTCTGTTTGCTCTAAACAGTCTGATTCGGATTGTGGTGACTCTCTCCAGTGAGGCTGGGGACAAGCACCCACTCCTGGGGCTCAGTCTAGCCGCCTTCTCTGCTAGGCCAGATTAAGTGTGTTGTAATGCTCCCTCCTTGTCTTTTATTGTTTACTTAGTTTGGAGATGTGTGAGAGCACTGTGTGCTTGGTAAGGGGAGGGAGGCAGGGAGAGGAAATCTTCCTACAATATGCTGCATCCAGTCAGTCAGTTCAGCACAATCCTGGGCTCAAACCTTTCCCTCTCCTTGTTTCCACCTCTGCTTTTGCAAGTGATGTGGGAACCAACACTCTGAGCTGTGCTACCCTGCTGCCAGCTTCTCTGCAGCTGGGAGCTGTCCTACTTGCAGTTCCTTTACTGGGAGGCACAGCAGCTCCCTCTGGCCACCTTGCTTCCCTCTTGATGCGTGGCAGTCTCTGATTAGCTTGCAGGTCCAGGAGGTCTGCTGAGTGAGAACTGATGGCTTCTGTGCTGTGCTATTCCCAGGCAGGTGATGTGCTTCCCTGAGGCACAGCGAAGTTGTGCTAGATCAACAAGGGCTCCTCAGCTCAACTGTGGCTGTGTCTTAGGGATGCCCTGCCTCTACTCATTCCTTCCTAGGCATGGAGAGGGACTCCTTCCCACTAATGGCAGCAGCAAAGTAATGACATACAGAAAGGAGATCTTTTGAGTCTAGCCTTCTCTGATGATAGACTGCATGCTTCTGCTACATGCTAGACAGAGGTGAAAAACTGCAACGCGTGAGACTGGAGCCAGCAGCCACCCTCACCCCTCATGCCTACTTCACACAGGTGGTTTTCCTCTAACCGCCCTGCCTATTGCCATATGTCTTCTGTACTGTTCTTTGTTCACGAGGGACTGTTTGCGCAGCTCTGTGGATGCGCAAAGTACTTACGAGCACCCAGCCAGTCACTTCGTGTTTCTCGGGGCCCCCTCGGGTCTGGATAGCCAAGTTTTCCCGGTCCCCAGGCAGAAGCTCCATCCTCTGGACACCATACTGTCCCCGAATTATCTAAACAGAAGGGCAGAAAGGTGTGAGAACTTTGGGGCTTATTTATGCCAGAACTGTTAGGACCATACCTGCATGCAGACAAAATCAACACTAATTTTACATGAATGTGTTTTGTGCAGGAACAGTGTGTTTTCTAGTGCCAGCATTTCCCCTTATCCTCTTGTGTACTGCAGCCCTAATGCCTCAACGTCTGCGCTGGCACTGCGTTTTCCTT